CTAGATTTGATGTTGAAAACTTATGAAATGTAATGGGTAATTGAAAAGAAATAGATTAAAGTAATTTAGGAAGAAAATCTCTTGAAAGAATCGCCTCTAGGGTGTTTAGGGTTAAGAGTTTGTGAAAAATGAGCTAAATCCCGCATTCTCAACTTTTTATCCAGACGTAGATGTCGCAAATGCGACCTAGGGTTCGCATCCCACACCTCTGTTGTCATTGCAAATGTGACGATTTGTTCGCACTTGCGAACATGGACCCTCCGCAAAAGCGACTTAGTGATCGCAATTGCGACCAACACCCAGGCCAAGCCAGGCCATCTGAGCACCAGTAAAAATCTGATCACTTATGAACTCTCCGAAATACGTCCGAAACTCACCTGAGCCCTCGGGGCTCTAGACCAAACATGTACACAAGTCCAAAAATATCATAAGAACTCGCTCGCACGATCAAAACCCTAAAATAATACCTAGAACCACGAATCGGACACCAAAACGAATGAAATTTTCAATGAAACTAAAGAACATGCAATTTCACAACCGAACGTTCGAATCACGTCAAACAAACTCCATTTTGCACCAAATTTTGCAGACAAGTTCCGGAATAAAAATCCGAACCCGGTAGCAACAAAGTCATCCTACGTTCAAACTTAATAATTCTTTAAACATTTAAATTTCTAGTTTTCAACAAATTACGTCAAATCAAGCTAGGGACTTCCGAATTCGATTCCGGGCATACGCTCAAGTCCCAAATCACGATACAGACCCACCAGGATCGTCAAAATACTGATCCGGATCTGTTTACATAAAACGTTGACCGTAGTCAACTCAAATGAGTTTTAAGGTACGATTTTACATTTTCACAAATTTTCTCATAAAAACTTTTCGAAAAAAGGACGCGGACTATGGACGCAAATCGAAAAAGGATAAACGGAGCTATTCGAGGTCTCGTAGCACATAAATGAAGGATAAAATTATAAATGACCTATCATGTCATCACATTTATCCTAGTCGGAGGAGAAATTGCCTCGAAGGAAAAAAAGACAATTCGATTGAATATTTATATTTAGATTCTTTTATCTGTTAGAAAAAGTGATTTTCTCCATATGACACTTGGCTTGACCTCATGCTTCACTATTATTCTTTTAATATAATATATGAAGGTATCTTATTATTTTCGTTAAAAAAAAAAGGTAAGTATGTTTAAACTCAAATTCAAAAAGAGTAATTAATTTTAAACAACAAGTAATGCATTTAAAAAAAAAAAAAATTAAATTCAAAAAGAAACTGATTATTATCTAACCTAACTAACTTTGTCCTAAATTACCAAGTAGCCTATTGTGAGGCTGCTACTTGGCTTAATGCGGAGTTTGTTTCCTCTTCTTTTAATAATATATAGATTAATCTCAAGTTGGCACAAGATTTAAGAGTATTTCAACTCAAGGTGCAAACTTTTCATTTTTCTCTATTTTGCTTATAAATTGTTAAGCCTAAGATCCTATTTTATACTATTATGTGGTATCAGAGCCTTAAGTTGTTGGCTTATTAATTAAGAAATAATTTAACATGATATTATATTTTTTGACTATATATGCAATTCATCTTGAAGACGACCAATTTTAGTCCTTTTAGTTTGTAGGAGTCAATTTACTAGGATGTAACTTCTCATATATTGCTCAAATATATTGAACATAAATAAAATATTATATTAGCTTGTAATAGATATATTTCTAGACAATGATCCAACCACCATGCTTCTTTAGTATGTTGATTACAGAGGTGGTTTCACTATGAGGCAAGTCATACGATTGTAGAACTTTGAAGTTGTGCCTTCAATGCCACCTTTTTTTTTTTTTTTTTTGTAATTAAAAGATTTTTATTACCAAGAAAAATATTTACATACAAAGAAAAAACTTCACACCGGCCAAAGTTGGACATGAGGCCCCATCTCAAGTGCAACAACTATAAACTACTGAGCATAAAGGGAGAATACATAAATACCCCTTCAACTATCAGCTTTTTCTCAAAGAGACACTTTAAGTTTGCAAGGATGCTAGTACCACTTAACTAATTAGAAGTGGTGTTAATACCACCTTTTATGTCAACTTGGCACATGTTGCGTTTTGCACAAGACTGTAGCGCGTAAAAGATAAAAACTACAACCCAAATTAGTGCATATTTGCTAGGTAACCTCCCAACTTAACCAATTAGTCCACATTAGTCCAAATCTCTTCCTCTGCAAATCATTCCACTCGTCATTGGAGCCAGGGGCGGCCCAACCTCATCGGAGGCCTAAAGCAAAATCTTAATAAGAGGCCTTAATATATATAAAAATTTTATATATATATATATATATATATATATATATAAAATTTTTAATGAACATCATTTTTAAAAAAATTAGACAAGTGAGGATGTGGAATTAAAAAAAATGAGAACTTAGTTTTATAAAATTCAGAAAATTAAATATATTTAACGTTGATTGCATCACAACTGAAATGGGAGAACCCAGAAAACATAAGTGACTCCTTTTTTTTAGTAAGTCCCTTTCTATATTTGATAACAATTCAACTTTAGATTTTTCTTTTTACCATTAATGAGATAATTTCTAGCCCAAAAACTTCTATGATTTATTTAAGATTACAAGTTTCAAAAGCCTTCCTTTATTTCATAAAATCCATGTCCAGTCAAATACTTTCATATAAATTGGGACGGAGAGAGTATAATTTATGTAAGAAAAATAAATAATAAGTTAGATTATTAGATATAGTTACGTGACCAACTAATGAATAGAGAAATATAATTAAGTAAAAAAAATAAAATAAGATTGACAGAAAACTATTTTAGTTATATTAATTAGAGGAAGAAATCAAGTTATTAAAAATTAATATGACAATAAAGAAATAAATTTATCAAAAATAAAAGATAATTATATAAATAATATACTACTATATATAAAAAAAATACTAATAATTTTGGGGCCTTGAATATTTGGGGGCCGCCCCTGATTGGAGCTAAATTTTCGCTTCAGCCATTTAGGTCATTTCTTCTCAAACCAAACATAGAAATAACCGTGGATATTTATATTCTCAACGAACATATCCACATAGAAGGTTGTACAACAGTTAAAAACTTATAAATCTATACTAATGAGCTTCAGCAAGTGTTCTCACTGGCCAGAAAATCGAACTCCGGCGATCCCCTTTTTCTCTGAAGAACTTCTTTCCTGATCTTATATCCTCTATCATCTGCTCGGTACTCATCTCTTAGAAGACTCCAAAGAGAAATTTTCTACCACCGTTATTGAAATCATCAACCACGACAATTGTGATTATCGAATATGTCCGGCGACCGATTGCAGTTGATGACTTGAACAGATATATGATGGCAGTGCCTCTATATTCCAGAAGCTAGAAAAGACGAATATTTCTTGCTAATAGTTCTTGGCTTTTTCTGACTATTTTTTTCGGCGAAGGTGATTTATCATTTGTTACATAGCTATGGTGATGGTTCCTGCTAGATTGTGGTGGGACTGTGGAGTTGCTAAGGGATGGTGTATTTTTGGGAATAATTTGGTGAAGAAAAGGAGAAGAGCAGTAGGGGTCCCGTCATTCACAGGTTGGGGATGAAGCTTTTGGTATGGGGAGAAAAGAGAAATGGAAACCCACCTTGAAGAAGAAAACAAAAAGTCTAAAACGAAAATAGAAACAGAAAATAAAAAAGAAAATTAACGTGTAAAAATAAGAGCAACGCGTAAGTTGCACTGCCTTTGCTTTTATCTGGTTTTGGTCTCTCGGGATGGTATTAACACCACTTATAACTAGTTAAGGGAGTTATTAGGACCCTTACAAACTTTAAGTGTCTCTTTGAAAAAAAGCTCATAGTTCAAGGGGGTTCTTATGTATTATCTATAATAAACGAAACAAATGATATCACCTCCTAATATCAACTTAGCTAGCTAAGGGTACAAAACTAGTAAGAATAGAAGCTCAAATTTTGCAACTGCCCGAGTAAGATTGCCTTCCAACAACGAACTTCTTGGACTACCATCCTAACAATATATGCGACATTTCTCTTCTTGTTCTGAAAGATCCTATAATATCCTGTGGATTCAAAATATAAATTCTACCATTTTTTTAATATTGTTAGCCTTGGGCCTATTATATTCTTAAATTTAAGGGTTTACATCATTATTTTAAAAATTTTAGTAAAATATTTACGCATAAATTTGTGCTCTGCTTCTAAAGTATTAAGTTCGTGTAAATTCGATACCTCAAAGCTTCATGCGCCTCTACCATCCCGATAACATAAATTCTGGCAGCCAGGGCATGCATTATGTAGATTTCAGCAGAAGCAATTTTGCCATGTGCATTAGTTCTTACCCATTTAAGCTCATCTGTCCACTCAATTGTATTTCTTTTGATCCCTTGCCATTGGAGCGTCTTCAGCCATATAGAAGATGACACAACACACTTAAAGGAAAAGATGTTGAAGATAATAATATACATGTATCTTTTACCATGTTAGTCTAGGAGTTGTTGTATATTACCCTTCGTATTCTTGTCTCTTACACTTATGTACTGCTTTATAAATACAATGAAAATCCCAAACATTATTATGGGGCAATATTATATCATGGTATAAGCCTAAAGATTCTACCCTAACCCTATTTAGCGCTGAAGCACGTCTTGCGTTCTCCACGTTTTTCCTTCTCTGTTGCTTAATTGTCTTCTTTTTGCTATCAAGCAGCTTATTTAATTAATACTTTCCATTGTTACTTTATAGATTTTTTATACTCTTTTAACTTTCTTGTGTGCCCCACATTACATACTATAGTTCTTCACCTTTTGACTTTTCTTCTTTAAACCACTAGATACAAAATTGTTCTTCACCTTTTCTTTTCCCCTCCGGTCGATTCTCATATTAAAAAAAAAGGGAAGCCCATCTCTCGTTATTTAGTTCTTTCAATTTCATTTCTTGCTACATATTCTTTTTCTATTAATATGGCTGGGACTGCTTTTTCTGCGCATATTAAGGATCTTGTTACTGAAGTTTTACATCAAACTAATTATCTTAAATGGGTACATCTCATTCAACTTGTTATTGAGATGTATGATTTGTTTGGTCACATTGATGGTTCTGAATCACATCCTCCTGAATTTAATGTTTCTTCCGATGGTACTTCCAAGTCAGTTAACCCTGCCTTTGTTATGTAGAGAAAGCAAGACCGTCTTCTTCTTACCTGGATTCAGGCAACAATTTACAATGACCTTATTCCTCTATTATATCATTGTTCTACAGTTGCAGATGCTTGGATCACATTAAAAAATTACTTTTTCCATCAATCCACAGCGAGAGAAATGCAGTACAAGCATCAATTACATACAATCAAAAAAGAAGATCTCTCTACAGATGCTTATATGTCTAAGATTCAGGAATTAGCTGATTGTCTCCACTCTATTGGTCGTTGTGTTAATGACTCCGAATTGGTTCGATGTGATCTGAATGGACTTCCGTTGTCTTATGACTCCTTTGTGATCATGGCCTCGCACATGAGTCCTGCTCCTCGATATTCTGAGTTGTGGATGATGCTTCTTACTCATTAGGCTTGTACTTTGCCTTCTCCTAATCTAGTATCACCTACTACATCTTTGGTTACTACAATAGCTGACCCTCTTTCCTCTACTTCCTCAGGATATCATGGACGTGGTCATGGTCGTGGTCGCGGTCGCGGAGGTGGCCGTCGTCATGCTCAAGATTATGATCGTGGCATTATTTCACAGTTTCATTATACCCCGTCACCTACCCCAGTTTCTCGTGGTGGTCCTTTCCAGCATTCTACCTCTGGTCGTGGTGTCTTGGCTCCCTCACCTTATCACTTGCCTGCATTTGTGGCTCCTACTCCCACTTTTACTACTGTGATTTGTCAGATTTGTGATCTTTCTGGTCATACGGCATTTGCCTGTCCTCAACACCATAACCATGCTTATACTGCTCCTAGTCTTCAGGCGAATATGCCAGCACTCTCATTGCAGTCCCCTCCAGACAAGAATTGGTACTTGTATTCTGGTGCAACCGCACACATGACTAATAATCTGGGTAATCTCTCTTCCTTTTCTCCTGTTTCAAATGATTCCATCTTGGTTGGTAATGGTACTTGTATTCCCGTTACCGGTATTGGTTCTTCTTCTCTTTCTACTCCTTCTTGCTCCTTTACTTTGTCCCCTGTTTTATATGTTCCGCATCTTTGCAAGAATTTATTATCTGTTCATCAATTTACCAAAGAAAATAATTGTGGTATTAACTTTCTTCCTTGGGGATTTGATGTTTAAGGATTTGTCGACGGGGAAAGTTTTGCATCACTCCCACACTGATAGGCCTCTATATCCTTTTCAGTCTTCCTCTGCATTGTCATCGTCTGCTCAGCCATCAACCTTTGTTGCTCTACATGACTCTAGTTCTATTTGGCATGCGCGTTTGGGGAATCCAAGTCATGTTGTCTTAGATTTACTTAGATCTAGAAAGTTAATTTCATTGTCTAGGCGTTTTTCTAATTCTTTTTGTTTTGTAATTCTTGTTTAAGTTCTAAACATTCGGCTTTGCCGTTTTCTTTAAGTACTTCAACTACTTCTTATATTTTAGAATTAGTTCATTCTGATGTTTGGAAGTCCCCTGTTCCCTCAGTTAGTGGTTATCATTATTATGTTCTTTATATTGATGATTTCACTCGTTACACATGGATTTATCCTCTTCGTCATAAAAGTGATGCCATATCTTGTTTTACCCATTTTAAACTTCTTGTTGAAAATCAATTTGGTGGGTCTATTAAGACATTTCGTTCAGATGGCGAGGGAGAGTATCAAAGTTCTTCCTTTATCTCTTTTCTCCGCTCGCATAACATTCATCATCAATTATCTTGTGCTCACACACCTCAGCAAAATGGTGTAGCTGAGCGTAAGCACTGTCATATTACAAATGTTGCTCGCACTATACTTTTTCATGCTCATGCCCCTCTTTCTTTATGGGTTGAAGCTTTTCTTACTGCTGTTCATCTTATTAATCGTCTTCCTTCTTCCTCCCTTGCTAAGTTGTCTCTCTACGAAAACCTATTTGGGGTTCCACCTGACTATACCATTTTAAAACCTTTTGGGTGTCTTTGTTATCCTAATTTGCGTCCTTATCATTCTCACAAACTTGACTCTTCTTCCTCTCCTTGCATATTTTTAGGGTACAATTCTAGTCACAAGGAATATCGGTGTCTACGTCTTGATACTAACCGTGTCTATATTAGTCGCTCTGTTCGCTTTATTGAGCATTGTTTTCCATATGCAAATTTATCTGCTTTTCTACCTCCTCGTCCTTCTATGCCCCATGTTCTCCTCCCTATACCTGCTGCGTTACCTAGTCCTACGCCTACTGCACCCGAGTCTACTAGTTCTGCTACTACTTTCATGTCCCCCTCTTCTTCTGTTGAATCTCCTAGTTTATCTTCCCTTCCTCCTAGCTCCTTAGAGTCCTTGTCCTTGCCGTTGTCTAGTAATGACTCATGTCCTATATTCACCTCCACAATTGAGCCATTAACTTCAATCTCTAATTCTGCTCATCCCATGATTACTTGATATAAGTGTGGTGTGGTTAAACCAAATCCTAAGTATGCTCTTAATTCTATGTCATTGACTAATTTTCCTGTTGAGCCTACTTGTTTCAGCTCTGCAGATAAGGATGCTAGATGGCAGAGTGCTATGACAGAAGAGTTCAATGCCCTACTTGCAAACCAGACGTGGTCTCTTGTTCCTCGTCCATCTGGTATTAATGTTGTTGGCTGCAAATGGGTCTATCGAGTTAAGCAGAAGTCTGATGACTCTCTTGATCATTGTAAGGCGAGTTTGGTAGCCAAGGGTTATACTCAGGAACTTGGTGTGGATTATGGTGAGACCTTTAGTCCTATTGTTCGTCCCACTACTATACGCCTAGTACTCTCTATTTCTCTTTCTCGTGGTTGGTCTATTCATCAGTTCGATGTAAAAAAATGTATTTCTTAATGGTTATTTGCATGAGTCTATTTATATGGAGCAGCCACAGGGGTTTATTGATTCTGTCTGACCAGACTATGTTTGCAAACTACATAAGGCATTATATGGTCTCAAGCAAGCGCCTCGTGCATGGTTTAGTCGGTTTGGTTCCTTTCTACTATCACATGGGTTTTAGAATAGCCGTACAGATTCATCTATGTTTGTTTATTCATCTGGTGGTCAATATCTTTTCTTGTTATTATATGTGGATGATATCGTACTGCCAGGCTCCGATGGTAGCTTAATATCTTGGTTTTCTAGATTACTTAATTCTGAGTTTTCTATTAACTTCATTATCTTTTAGGTATTCGCGTCACTCGGTTGGCGAATGGTTTGCATCTCTCTCAGAGTAAGTATGCTCGAGATATTCTTGATCGTGCTAGTTTGTTACAGTCCAAGCCGGTCTCCACTCCATCTTCTTCTCGATCTGCCACTATTGAGGACTCTACTGTTATTGATCGTACTTTATACCGTAGTCTAGTGGGTGCTTTACAATATTTGACTCTGACTCGACCAGACATTGCCTTTGCGATAAATACAGCTAGTCAACACTTACATGCTCCTACTTCCACTCACCTTGCTGCTGTTAAACACATTTTGCGTTACATTGCCGGTACTCTCGATTTTGGGTTGTTGTTGAAACGAGTGACTACTTATTCTCTTACTGCATATTCAGATTCTGATTGGCTGGTTGTTCTGATACTCATCGGTCTACCACTGGATCTCTGGTTTTCTTTGGTTCAAATCTCATTTCTTGGCCTTCTAAGAAGCAACATACTGTCTCTCGCTCTAGTACCGAGGCTGAGTATCGTGCCATGGCTCACACTGTAGCTGAGGTATTATGGATTCAACAGCTGCTACGGGACTTGCATATTTTTCTCTCTGATGCGCCACTTATCTTTTGTGATAATGTAAGTGCATTATATCTTACGATGAATCCTATATATCATTCCCGTACAAAGCATCTTGCAGTTGATTTTTACTTTGTACGGGAACGTGTAGTCTCTGGATCTATTCTTGTTCGCTATCTTCCAACGGAGCGCCAACTAGCTGACATTCTTACCAAGGGCCTATCCTCTCATCGATTTAAGACTCTTCGAGACAATCTTCGCATGTTCCCATACTCGATTGAGGGGCGTGATAATATACATGTATCTTTTACCATGTTAGCCTAGGAGTTGTTGTATATTACCCTTCTAAATAAGGATATTCTTGTGTCTTACACTTATGTACTGCTTTATAAATACAATGACAACCCCAAACATTATTATGGGGCATTATTATATCAGAAGATTCATCTTGTAGAAATATTTATAATTGCGTTACTTGTAGCGTCTTTGCAAACCTACTAAATGAAAGCAGTAGGTTAATATTGTAACTCATTTTTTGATTTTACGCAAAATATCTAATGTTCTTCATTAATAATGGAGATATCTTCGTCTTTCCCCAAAGAATATACCCCAAATCTAGAAATCTTCCTTCCTCCGTCAAGCTCCAATCTTCCTAAGAATTTCATATATATCGCTTAAGTAAACTTCCTCAATCTGATTTCATGCAATGTCTTTTTAGCAATATAATTTACCTACGCTTAGCCCTTTCAATTGAAATCTATTATCACTCTGTATTCAAAACCAGTAAATCAATAAACGTTAGTTTAAGGAAAAAAAAAGCAGAGAAAATTCCGAGCCCACAAGTTTCTTGTGTTTCCTTAAGGAATTTAATCCCCTCACAATGCCCAAGATTGCGGATTAATTTCTCCCAGGATAGAACGGAATAACAATTCTGTGATAGCGGCACTTCAAATCACAGAATTTCGGCGAACTCAAATGGCAGAGCAAATCATACAAAATGCTTACGTTTTGCTTTTGAATAACCAATGCAGTATGCAGAAAATTGAGGGGAGAGATTTTAGATTTTTCAGTGGTGGAAAATGAGGCTAAGCCTCTCTATTTATAGATAATGAAAGGGTGAGATGAAGAGGTGTAATCCAAGAGGTGCCTCTTCCATTTCCCATTCATACCCAAAGAAAGGGTGAGATGAAGAGGTGCAATCCAAGAGGTGCCTCTTCCTTTTTTTATTCACACCCAAGTGATACCTCTTCCATTTCCCATTCACACCCCTTAATAAAAACGCAACAATCCCCCACATGAATGGGGAATGGACATATGTGGAAAAACATGTATGAAAATACTGTGTGGTTCGCAATTAAGGATTAATCACATATGGATAAGTAAGTTTCCCTTTGATCTTTTCGTAGTGAGCTTATGTCGGATATACTCGGTCAATCGGTAGATTTGATATCTTTGAACCGTCGAACTTTGGTGTATACCTAGACAACCATAAGTCACACAATCAACCCTTAACCGTCTTTGGTTCTTATTGTTGTGTTCGTTTCAGCCATGAACACCACCTGGTTCATAAGTGCGTAGAGAACTGGTCTTACAGAATTCTCCTTGAAGCAGCTTACACTTCACACTTACATAGGTGATTCCTAAGCGTGTTATCCCGTAAATACACTATTTGATATACCCCGTATCAAATTTAGAAACTATTAAAAAGCCTTAACGCTTTATCCTTGGTACTGAACATTGTCTCATCACGAGAATGGACAAAAAAGAAATTTTATTTGACAATGTTGAACCGTCATTAATGACTTTGTTTGATCTCCTTGAACCTAGATCTTGGGATCTCCAGTATTCTAGGTAGAGTTACCGTCATAGTGACTTGTCCTCGGCCATAGTCCCATTCCCTTTGATGACTTCTCAACCGCCTCTCTAGGTAGGCCTTTTGTAAGCGGATCCGATACATTATCTTTTGACTTTACATAGTCAATTGTGATAATTCCACTAGAGAGTAGTTGTCTAACGGTATTATGCCTTAGTCGAATGTGACGAGATTTTCCGTTATACATAACGCTCTCAGCCCTTCCTATTGCTGCTTGATTGTCGCAATGTATGCATACAGGTGTCACAGGTTTGGGCCAAAATGGAATGTCTTCTAAGAAATTCCGGAGCCATTCAGCTTCTTCACCGGCCTTGTCTAAATCTATAAACTCAGACTCCATTGTAGAGCGGGCGATGCATGTCTGTTTGGACTACTTCCAAGACACTGCTCCTCCACCAATGGTAAAAACGTATCCACTTGTGGATTTTGATTCTGTTGATCCGATGATCTAATTTGCATCACTATATCCCTCAACAACTGCATGATAATTATTGTAATGCAATGAATAGTCTTGGGTATATTTCAAATATCCCAAAACTCGTTTCACTGCTATCCAATGAGCTTGGTTGGGATTACTTGTGTATCGACTAAGCTTACTTATCGCACAAGCTATATCAGGTCGTGTACAATTCATAATGTACATCAAACTTCCCAACACTCGAGCATATTCCAATTGAGACTTGATTTGACCTTTATTCTTTACAAGAGTATGGTTTAAATCAATTGGCGTTTTTGCTTCTTTAAATTCCAAATATTTGAACTTTTCAAGTTCCATTTTAATATAATGAGATTGAGACAAAGCTAGACCTTGAGGAGTTTGAAGGATCTTAATTTCCAAAATTAAATCGGCAACTCCTAAGTCTTTCATATCAAACTTACTAGTAAGCATGCGCTTAGTAGCATTTATGTTAGCAATGTCATTACTCATTATCAACATATCATCCACATATAAACAAACAATGACTATTTGATCTGGAGTATTCTTAATGTAAACACATTTGTCACACTCATTGATCTTGAAACTATTTGACAACATTGTTTGGTCAAATTTCGCATGCCATTGTTTTGGTGCTTGTTTTAGTCCGTAAAGTGACTTAACAAGTCGACACACTTTCTTTTCTTTTCCGAAAATTACAAACCCTTCAGGTTGTTCCATATAGATTTCTTCCTCTAAATCTCCATTTAAGAAGGCTGTCTTTACATCCATCTGATGGATTTGAAGAGCATACACGACGGCTAACGTTATTAACACTCGGATAGATGTAATCCTTGTTACCGGCGAGTATGTGTCAAAGTAATCAAGACCTTCTCGTTGTCTAAACCCTTTAATAACTAATCTTGCCTTATATTTATCAATAATACCATTAGCTTTCATTTTCCTTTTGAAAATCTATTTAGAACTCAAAGGTTTATTTTTCGGAGGAAGATCAACCAATTCCCAAGTATGATTACTTAACATGGATTCTATCTCACTATTGACTGCCTCTTTCCAATATTGTGCTTCCGAGGAAGACATTGCTTCCTTGAACGTTTGAGGCTCATTTTCCAACAAAAATATTAGAAAGTCTGGTCCAAAGGAAGTAGTTATCCTTTGACGTTTACTACGTCTTGGATTTTCCTCATTAAACATACTTTCCTTTTCTTCTTCTCGAGGTCGCTTAGATTTTTCACTAGACGATTCACATTTATTTTTATACGAATAAATATTCTCAAAGAATTCAGAATTATCGGATTCGATTACCTTATTAATATGAATGTCTGAATTTTCTGATTTATGTACCAGAAAACGATATGCTTTACTATTTCTTGCATATCCTATGAAAATGCAATCAACCGTTTTCGGTCCAATCTTCACCCTTTTGGGTTTAGGAATTTGCACTTTAGCCAAACATCCCCACACTTTAAAATATTTTAAGTTGGGTTTCCTACCTTTTCATTTTTCATATGGAATAGATTGCATTTTGTTATGGGGAACTCGGTTGAGTATTTGATTCGCTGTAAGAATAGCTTCCCCCTCACAAGTTCTGGGGTATACCCGAACTTATCAATAAAGCATTCATTATCTCTTTTAACATTCTATTCTTTCTTTCTGCAATTTCATTAGATTGCGGTGAGTAAGGAGCAATTGTTTGGTGAATAATTCCATATTCTAAACATATTTCTTCAAAAGGAGATTCATATTCACCACCCCTATCACTACTTATCATTTTGATCTTTTTGTTTAGTTGCGTTTCAACTTCATTTTTGTATTGCTTGAATGCCTCAATTGCTTCATCTTTACTATTAAGTAAGTAAATATAGCAATATCTAGTACTGCCGTCAATAAAAGTTATGAAATACTTTTTCCCACTGCGAGATGGTATTGACTTCTTGTCGCAAATATCTGTGTGAATTAAGTCTAAAGAATTTGAATTCCTTTCAACTAACTTATAAGGATATTTAACATACTTTGATTCCACACATATTTGATATTTTGAGTTATTGCATTCAAACTTAGGTAATACTTCCAAATTAATAATTTTTTGCAACGTTTTGAAGTTGACGTGGCCTAAACGTTCATGCCATAAATTATTTGGTTCAAGCAAGTAAGAAGAAGCTGAACTTTTATTCATATAAATGGCAATTACATTGAGTTTGAAAAGGCCCTCCGTAAGGTAGCCTTTTCCTACATACATTTCATTCTTACTAACTACAATCTTGTCGGAAACAAAAATACACTTAAAGCCATTCTTGACTAGAAGTGATGTAGGGACTAAATTCTTCCGCATTTCAGGAACATGAAGGACATCATTTAGAGTCACAATCTTGCCAGAAGTCATCTTCAAAGCTATCTTGCCCGTTCCTTCAATTTTTGCAGTAGCGGAATTCGCCATAAAAACTGTCTCGTTGGGTCCAGCGGGAGCATAAGAAGTAAACAACTCCTTGTTAGCACAAACATGACGAGTTGCCCCCGAATTAATCCACCATTCTCTAGGATTTCCGACTAGGTTTCATTCCGAAAGCATGGCACATAAATCGTCTATTTCATCGTTCTTCTCAATCATGTTTGCTTGACTTTTCTTCTTGTCCTTCTTTAGTGCATGACATTCAGCAGCCTTATGTCCAAC